AGAAAGTTCCAGCACTCTGAACTGTAAGAAGCCTGGCCCGTGAAAACTAAAGAAATCCTATTCTTGCGAGCTCTTCCCTAAGTATCGATTTCTGGAGACCCTTTAACCCTCTAAGGTTCCAGTTTGTTAAGTAGCTTATCGAAGAGTTTACTAACAAGCCAAGGATTTTGACTTCCTTTTTACCTTCAACTTTACAAAATGCAATTGACCAGAATCAACGATTGACCCAAATAAATTGTAGCAATTTTATGCTCTTACAGCTTTCCATTGCTTTACTAAGACTATTACTGTGCCAAAATTAAATCACTATAGTTATTACTGTAGGACTGTCTTTTTATCAATACTTCATTTTGTATTAATTTGACAAAACATGCAATTTTTAACATACATGGAAAAGTACCACTTTCTGTATTTTTATTAAATTTTTCAATAAAACAAGTTTGATAAAATTCTTGAAGATGACAATCTTTTTATCAATAGTTAAGACCCTCATTATGTATTAATTTGACAAAATATGCAATTTTTAACATACATGAAAAAACACTATTTTCTGCATTTTTATTAAATTTGTCAACCAAAGAAGTTTGATAAAATTCTTGAATTAATAAGAACATAACAAACGTTGAAAATATAAACTGAAAATAATTGGTTAAAAATTATGCGTCCAATGGTGTGAACAAATATTTTGAACTTCTTATAATATAACAAATATACAAGTAAATTGTGTTGAGATTTTTCATGTGTTTATTATATATGATTTGTCCAAAACTGTCCCTAATTGTTCAAAGTACTCCAAGATTGTCCAAAGTTGTCCAAAATTGTCCAAATAGTTGAATCTAAAATTATCCAACCGAATAAACTTCCAGTAAAAGTCAGTTTCATAAAAGTAAAAAAAAGTCCCTTATCCGAAAGACACTGCAATAAATAATGTCTGGTACGAAGCAACCGTGAACTTCCTGTAGCCGTAGGAAGTGGTAGGCCGGCCATCGAGGCATCGTCGAGGGTACAAAGGGCAACCCTCGGTGTTCAATAGCAATTCGTTGAATTACAAGTTGGCGATCAGGAACCCGATCCCGAGGACAAAAGCCACGGCCGTGGCAATTAGAAAGGGGGTAATCAGGCCTGAGTAACGTTATTGTCCCGAGAGACAGGTCGGCCTTGAGAGTCACTGCTATCGCATCGATGCACGCACCGCAAAGTGCAACGCAACGGTGCAACGGGCGGCTTCGTGTGCATACGAACCTATGAATGAAGCGAACTCTGCCCACGCTCTCTGTTCGAGACAACCCTTTTCCCCTTTCTCTTCCTGCCTGTTGCCTTTCTGTTCCCTCCGGCTATCACGGTCTTCCCGTTTCGTTCAGCCTTTCTCCTTCCACGAACGCCTCCCACTCAACCTTACTGCGGGAACGACATAACCGTGAAACGTAACGTTGCGCACACGTTGTACTGCGGCTTTCACACTTGATGTCACTTATCAAGTATTATATCGAGGAGCGAGATTCACCGGTGCGAAATTTCTACTCGAAAGGCAACTTGGTTTGACATTAGATTTATGGAACACTTCAATATTATCAGGATTCAGTATTAATCTTCAGTCTCTTATAGATTATAGTAGTTCTTATTTTAAATGACAGAACTTGTTAAGAAATTTTTGTGAAAATTTCAACTTTTGTCAAGGTAAAGAATGTCTTAGGCACTTCACATGTCCTCAATTTACTTATTTTTCTACTTTAGTTCAAGTTTAATTATAAGTGAGCATCAAATGCCTGTAAAGTTAGTGTTAATTTCACACAGATATTTAACTGAATCAGAAAGTTTTCTGACCTACTGTAGGTTTGTGTGGTTAGAACAATCGTGAGAACTGAGTGACATCAAGTGTGAAAGACATTATAACGAGACTGGAGGTCTTTACGAGGGTCACGCTTTGTCTGCGATGCAAGGTGACGGTCGCGACGATCGCGTGGATACTGATTTCCTTCGTTTATCTTCATCCGAGGCTACCGATGCATGTACAAATTATTTTTGCAAACTTATAGTTGCGTTGGAGTATTTAGTTGTTAGTTAGGTGCAAATAATGAACCCCTAAATATTTTACAAATTGAACAAAATATTGAAAACTTAACTTAAATATTCAACAAAATATTCATTACCTAACCTAACCTGAGTAGCCAACAAAACACTGATAATCTAACCTAACCTGAGTAATCAACAACCCATTGATAACCTAACCTAACCTGAGTAATCAACAAAACATTGATAATCTAACCTAACCTAAATATCCCAAATATCGAGTGAAATATTGAAACCCCAAATAACCTAAATATTGAACAAAAAATTGAGAACCTAATCTAACCTAAATATTGAAAACAATATTGAAACCCTAACCTAACCTAAACATCCTAAATACCGAGTGAAATATTGAAACCCCAAATAACCTAAATATTGAACAAAAAATTGAGAACCTAACCTAACCTAAATATTAACCAAAGTATTGAAAACCTAACCTACCCTAAATTATCCTAAATACCGAGTGAAATATTGAAACCCCAAATAACCTAAATATCGAGAAAAAAAAATTGAAAACCTAAATAACTTAAAAATTGAACAACCTTTCCACCCAGTGAAACTTGTGATTTAACTAAACACCTCGCGCCATCAATCCTCGAAACGCGTTAAATATTCGTATGACAAACAAACGGCCACCAATCGAGGAATTAAAATGTCCAAAGTCAACTCGATAAACGTAATCCATAAAAACCCGAAACCTTTTATCCAGCAATCGCGGAATACGAGCTAATGTTCGATTCAGCGTGAAAAAAAAGCGTACATCAAACACGTGTTTGATATTTGCTTGCTAATATTTCAACGAGTCTAATTACCCGTACAATTGTGTGACCGAAAAAAACGAGCGAAAGATGATAAAATCCATTCCATTTATCACGTTTGTTAACCGAGTCTCGACCAATTTACCCCGTGCATTTTTCAAACACAATTTTCCGCCAGGCCGCACTGCAATACCGCAAAAAACGGCGCAAATCAAATAACATAAAACTTGTACGCTCGCTTCGCAACACCGTCAATCTATCATACCCGAAAGAAACGCGGTAAATTGAAAAAAAAGGGCATAAATCAACAAATTGAAATAAAAATGAAATTCTCAAAGTGCGGGGTTGCTCGATTATCAGATTTTACCTGTGTGAAATATTTATCGAAAACGGTGAAATTATATCGCGTAAATCGCGAAATGTCGCGCCGGAAACGCGACCATCCTCGCTTTTCAAACCGATTTCGACGACGGAGCGAACGGGATTACAAGGTATTACCGTAGAACTAGTTGTAATGGAGCTGTACGTGTTCGAATAACGAAAAAAATAACCTTTGATTCGCTCCAACATTTTCCGAACAAAGCTTTGTCCCTGTACAAAAATTGACAATAACGTTCTCAAAATTCTTGTGACTCGATAAACTAATTTCGGAGCCCAATTTGCAGTGAACAACGGGAGAAAGAGCGTGAAGGCGGTGAAACCTGAAGGACAGCATGGTAATAGGATTTAAGGGTGGAAGAGGGAAATAAATGTTTATCGCATGACGCGCCAAACTGACGTGTTTATGGGGATCAAGTCAGCGAGTGCGCGGCAAGATGACGTGAAATATGAGAATTGATGTAGTCGAAATAGAAAGGGGAACGTACGGGAATGATCATTTTTTATGCCTTTGGTAATAGAATTTCTGGCTCGCGATCAAACTGTGTGGGCTTTATGCGGGGATGTTTGAGTTACTAGACATTATTTGCTACTTCCATTTTATCTAAACTTGCAAAATTGTTTGTGATATATTTTTCAATGGTAGATTAATTCTAAATTACAAATTTATCGGTCATTCAAACATAGGGTGCGCTGTACATATCATATTGTATAATATAGTATAGGTATGCAGGTATAATAGGTTATGTACATGTGTGATATACACGTAATTACGATATGTAATATATCGTATAGAAAGATATAATATAATATACACAATCCATAGTTAGTATAATCCATAATATAATGCAACGCGTGGAAATTGGTCACGTGGTATTACTATGCATGGAAGGCGACAAAATGACGGTGCGTCGCATAGAAATCTATCGTGTCGTAACTGAACACGTAGAAATTAAACGCGTGGTAATACAACGCGTAGAAATTTGTCATGTGGTGATACAACGCGTGCGAACGGGTCATATGGTATTACTATGCGTGGAAATCTATAAAATGGCGGTACAACGCGTGGGAATTGATCACGTGGTATTACTATGCGTAGAAGTCGACAAAATGGCGGTGCAACGCGTGGGAAATGGTCACGTGGTATTACCATGTGCGGAAATTTATCGTGTAGTGTCACAACGCGTGGAAATCTATCACGTAGTGGTACAATGCGTGGAAATACTATGCGTGGTAATACAACGCGTGGAAATCTATCGCGTGGTAATACAACGCGTGGAAATCTATCGCGTGGTGTTACAACGCGTGGAAATCTAACGCGTAGAAATCTATCGCATGGTAATACAACGCGTCGAAATCTATCGCGTGGTGTTACAACGCGTGGTAATACAACACGTGGAAATCTATCGCGTGGTAATACAACGCGTGGAAATCTAACTCGTGGTAATACAACGCGTGGAAATCTATCGCGTGGTAAAACAACGCGTGGAAATCTATCGCGTGACATGACAACGTCCCCAAATCTACCACGTGACGATACAAAGCCCCCAAATCCATCACGTGACAATACAACGCTCCCCAAATTCCTCACACGACAATACAACATATGGAAATTAACTTTGATATAAAGCAACGCATGGAAATTAATTGCTTATTAGTGGAACTCATGGAAATTTGTGAAACGGCAATATAGCGAGTGTGAATCGAAGAAAGTTAAAATCCAACACACGAACACGTAACGCTCAAGCGAATAAATCTTGTTTAATCTGACCACGGCAGCCGGATTTTCTGTTACAGGATGCAGGTACGAGGGTCGTAGATATCAAGAGGGTACGTCCGTGATCACGTCCGAGCCCTGCTTGCAGTGCAGATGCACGGAGGGTGCGCTCAGATGTCGTCTTCGAGTTTGTCCACGATTACCAAACCCACCACCCCCTGGATGTCGCGTTCGTTCACCAGGAGAGAACGTTTGCTGTGCCGAGTTGGTTTGCGGAGAATCGCGTGAGTAGAATTAGAAGATTATCACCTTCTACGGTACATATTTCACGCTGTATAAACGTATACAAAAAACAAATAAAATGTAACTACATATGAAGAAATAGTCGAGTTATAATTATTTTAAACAAGACAAACGAAGAGCTAAAAAATATATAAGTAGTGATAAGAAATAAAAAATGAGCAACGTAAGAAGAATATAATACAACGAAAACAAAAGTAAATAAAATACAAGAAAATATAAAGAAATAGTCAAGTTATAATTATTTTAAAATAGACAAACGAAGATGTTAAAAATAATAAGCAGTGTTAATAAATAAGAAATTAATGCAAGAAGAAATGAACGTCTATTATAGGTTAGGTTAGGTTGTATTATATTAAATAACGTTGATGGTATTTGAATTAAATTACAAAGCGTTACAGGTTGCTTTCATCGTAACTAACGTATTAAAGAGGATTTCTTAAATGTTTAAGTAGAATTAAATATGTATGCATCTTGCAGGCGACTCTGTAAACGCGTTACGAAGATCCAACGTTCACGTGGAACAAGAAAACCTGAACGAGGAGGAACTGCTGCAGAATCCTCATTCTCAAGGTAACTTATAGGATGAGATATATTATTAAAATTTACGTATCAAGTTTGTACTTTGGAGTTTACTGATGATGAATCTAAAAATTTACAAATTTATATATATACTTAGAAATATTATATATCTTGTCATACTGTATACATATGTGTATGCATATACATATACATGAATAAGTATCATCAAATTTTTTATTCCTATATATTCTACATATTGTATATACTTATTAAATATTATAATATTTTAAGCTTCTATATTTCACATCTACAGATCCCAAAATCCTAAATCTCAATACCAATTTTCCTTAATTCCTAGCTACCCAAATTCTTAATCCCCCAAATCCCTACACACCCCAATTCCTACACAAACAAATCCCTATATTCCCAAATCCACACTTTCCCACCTTCTACATCCCAAAATTCTTAATCCATTCCCAGCGAGTGAGAGATTCCCTCGGCTGCCATTTTTATAATAAGGAGAACTTGCTCTTGACTGTACACTCGCCAGCATCGTAGACTCTCCTACAAAAAGAAATATATAAATCTGAAAAATTCAAAGACTTGAATATCTAGGAAAGAAAAGTTAAAAACCTAGAAGATTTAAAGATTTGAAAACCTAGAAACTTCAAAGATTTCATAACCTAAAAAATTCGAATATTTGAAAACAAGAAATTCTAAGACTTAAAGACTAACAAAATTCGAAACCTTAAAAACTTCACGACTTCATAAATAACATAAAATTCCATAATCCAAGAGTACAAAAAACCTCAAAGATGAAAGATCGATATCTTCCACCTGGTTTCCAAAAGTGCGCCTACGTTGCCGCTGAGTGTACGTGCAAGAAAATATTTTCGTTAAAAGAAAAAAAAGAAGGTAAAATAACACCCTTAAAGTAGACCGTGCACGAGGATGTTCTCACTTAAAAGATTCAAGCAGCTTGAAGGTTGTTCGTGTTAACAATCAGGTTGCCTGCACGAGGGCGTGAGATACGGGCCGGGTTCAGCGATGATGGGCTCACGTAGATGCGAGTATTGCTACTGCATCTCTGGCGCGAGAAGATGCATCAGACCGAAGTGCCTGCTGCCCCTGCCAGGATGCACTCCGCTTTATGCCCCTCACTCTTGTTGCCCTGTTTCGTACAATTGCACCCGTGAGTCTCACTCTCTTTACTCGCGAACACGCTTCGTCTACCTTCTTTCCAGAATAACTTATAACGACTCTTTTTTCACATTCAAGATACGCTGTCCTCCACTGTCGCACCCATCATCGGAAATGGTAAGTTCTCAGCATCTTTATCTTCGTTGAGTTAACTCGTGTGATATCGTATTCCACATGTAGCACGTAACTGGTGAAATATGTGGTTTGTTTCACCTTGACGGTTTGTTTGTTTCAACTTGGAAGGTGTGCAATGATTGCTACATCTAAAATATTCTTTATATTTGCACCTTCTTTATCTTCAACGTTGCAAGAATAATTAAATGGATCAGTTCGATGCACTTGTAGAGAAGTTATAGGTTAAGGGATTGATGAAACTTTTATGAAAGACGTATTCTGATAACTGCAGGTATTTTATTTCTGCCACCTTGTGAGTTGAAGATTTGAAGCTTTTTAATGGTTGCGAGAAGATCTTGCTAAGAAGGGTTCTGTGTAAACCAAACATTCCAACCCAACATCCTTGAAATTCTAAGCTCGCAAGAATGCAGAGATTTGCAAGAGAACTCACCCTTGCACCACCAAAAATAAAAAACGTAATCTAGCAACGAAGTAAGAAAGTATCGTCGAAATAAGTTGAGGATAACTTTATTTAGATCCGAGTCGTTTGCCTTTCAGTTTAGCTGTTGATCCCGTACGCGGGTTTAATAATCGCGTGCAACGCAAGCAGGCGGTTCTGTCTCTTAGAGAAAAGCCGCTCAGACAGCGACTCTATCCGGTGAAAGTTGCGACGAAAAGTTTAAACGCGATAAAAAGGAAAGTTTGCCACCGGTCGCTATATCAGCCGCTTTAGAAGAAGCCACGCTACGTTGTTCGTCGGATGGCTGAGTTTAAATTTAAGCTCGGCTTATAAGGAAAAATCGCATCGCGGGACAAAATCAGGCGCCCGTTGTGTGCTGAACTTTTAATTCTTTTAAATTGCATCGGATTTTATCGAGCATCAAGTACCATCTAATTATCCTCGGGAAGGTCCCTGCTAAGATTCTCCTGCGGGAAACTTCGCAAGAAATTGATTTGAAAAGCGCGCGCGAACAGCGAGGGGAAAAGGAAACGTTTAGACGGCCACTGTCTGCGCTACGTTACTGTCTCTCGTGACACTTAATTCGTAAAGATTTCTGCGATGTCAGAAGCCATTTTTCTTTGCTCGTTCACTTAACGGTCCAGTTTCATTCAATTTTACGTTTCCTTCCACGAGAAAAGTGGAGACCGTGCTCTTTCTGACAAATCTGACGCGTGAAACGACAATTTTCTTCTTTCTTCGCGAAAACTTCTTTTCGTTTTATTGCAATCCTCTGTTTTGTCACTCTTAACCTCTTTGTTGCTGTTCACACTTATTTTCCTGGTATTCAGGATACTTTGCGAGTTTATAATAACAATTTTTCTCTTGCTTTATCATAACGATTATGAATCATTACTCTTTCATATGTTATTATTTTTCACCCCTTTTTATTTATATGTCATTCGTTTAATTTTTCTGTACCTTCATTTTCTATGTATACCTATTCTACAAAGTTTGTAGTAAGCTTTCTCTAACTTTGCCATAACAAGAATCACATGTCTCACTCTTTGATACATTTTCACCCCTTTGTACCATATGTTATTCGTTTAATTTTTCCTTTATTTGTACCTTTATTTTCTGTGTACACCTATTCCACAAAATTTATAGTAAACTTTCTCTAACTCTGCCATAACAAGAATCACATGTCTCACTCTTTAATACAATTTCACCCCTTTGTACCCGTATGTTATTCGTTTAATTTTTCCTTTATTTGTACCTTCATTTTTTGTGTACACCTATTCCACAAAATTTATAATAAACTTTCTTTACATCTGCCATAACAAGAATCACATGTCTCACTCTTTGATACAATTTCACCCCTTTTCACTCATACGTGATTCGTTTAATTTTTCCGTACCTTTTCATACGTGTATTTTACACTCCCTTTTCATACACTTCCCCAAACTGTTATGTTCTCAACCCTTTATATTTCTACCCCAATCTCTCCTCATTACCTTTACAACCCTTTTCTCTCTCACGTAGATGTTTCTACCACCATTTTTTAAAATCTACCCCTTTCTGTATACCAAGAAAACTTGTTATCCTTGTATTTCCCCTGGAACCTCATTCTTCTACCTCCAAAAGACACTTCAAACATTTTCCGATCAACTAGCAACTCAGTCAGAGAAAAATAGAAATACGGGATTTGCGGGAGTCCGCAAGGTTTCACACCCTTCAGCCTAAAGCTTCTTTCACCCCTTTTTCATCCATTTAAACGTCACGCAGACTATCAACGTTTGGAAGGGTTCCATTTTCAGATACTCGTCGTCTGTTTAACGACCACTTTCGACCGTTTAAAACCGGGATCGACTTCTAAAGCTCGCAAGCCCATTAGAATGGACCCCAAACCGCGGACTTAATTCTAAACAACTCCGTGGAAACTATTCGTCGAATGCGATTGTTCGGTATCAACTTCGTTTCAGAAGCCATAAATAACGATCAAGTAGAGGCTCGATAGCGCCGTGTGCGGTTACGAACCGCATTAACCCTTATAGAATGACGTTGTAATACGGAAATTACGCCCTTGGGTGATGTCTCGACGCAACTTTCACCCCCAGTTCGATTATCCGACGATATCGAGTTTCTTTGCTTTTTTTGTTCGAACGCGAGAAGGTCGCAAGTGGTATAGTTTTTAGCGCTTTATGACTCGTTGGAAGGTTTCATTGAACCGATTCAAGAGATTATCCTTCCGGAGAACTGTTTCGTTGTTCTTCAACCTGTTTCGAACCGGTTCGAAAGTTAAATTGCCGGATTTGCCGAGCTTTGATTAGCCTGCGAGCTTTTTAGCCCGATTCCGAGCTGAATAATAGCGTCGAACGCGAGATCGAGGGTTATCGTGAAACACGATATTGCCACGCGTTCTCTTTTACCTTCTGTCCTGGTTTTGCAACGGATTTCGATTCGAATCGCTGCATTGCAGTCGAATAACTCTTTTTTTTTTCACGAATTTTCATATGTACTCACGTTTTTAATGCTTCAGTAAAATTATGACGTGGATCACTTTAATTTATAATCTGAATCGTTTATGTACTTCGTTTATGTACGAGTGTATGTATGTTAGCTTTTCATTACCTTTACAACCCTTTTCTCTCTCACGTAGATGTTTCTACCACCATTTTTTAAAATCTACCCCTTTCTGTATACCAAGAAAACTTGTTATCCTTGTATTTCCCCTGGAACCTCATTCTTCTACCTCCAAAAGACACTTCAAACATTTTCCGATCAACTAGCAACTCAGTCAGAGAAAAATAGAAATACGGGATTTGCGGGAGTCCGCAAGGTTTCACACCCTTCAGCCTAAAGCTTCTTTCACCCCTTTTTCATCCATTTAAACGTCACGCAGACTATCAACGTTTGGAAGGGTTCCATTTTCAGATACTCGTCGTCTGTTTAACGACCACTTTCGACCGTTTAAAACCGGGATCGACTTCTAAAGCTCGCAAGCCCATTAGAATGGACCCCAAACCGCGGACTTAATTCTAAACAACTCCGTGGAAACTATTCGTCGAATGCGATTGTTCGGTATCAACTTCGTTTCAGAAGCCATAAATAACGATCAAGTAGAGGCTCGATAGCGCCGTGTGCGGTTACGAACCGCATTAACCCTTATAGAATGACGTTGTAATACGGAAATTACGCCCTTGGGTGATGTCTCGACGCAACTTTCACCCCCAGTTCGATTATCCGACGATATCGAGTTTCTTTGCTTTTTTTGTTCGAACGCGAGAAGGTCGCAAGTGGTATAGTTTTTAGCGCTTTATGACTCGTTGGAAGGTTTCATTGAACCGATTCAAGAGATTATCCTTCCGGAGAACTGTTTCGTTGTTCTTCAACCTGTTTCGAACCGGTTCGAAAGTTAAATTGCCGGATTTGCCGAGCTTTGATTAGCCTGCGAGCTTTTTAGCCCGATTCCGAGCTGAATAATAGCGTCGAACGCGAGATCGAGGGTTATCGTGAAACACGATATTGCCACGCGTTCTCTTTTACCTTCTGTCCTGGTTTTGCAACGGATTTCGATTCGAATCGCTGCATTGCAGTCGAATAACTCTTTTTTTTTTCACGAATTTTCATATGTACTCACGTTTTTAATGCTTCAGTAAAATTATGACGTGGATCACTTTAATTTATAATCTGAATCGTTTATGTACTTCGTTTATGTACGAGTGTATGTATGTTAGCTTTGGTGCGTCAGTCAGGTGTGTCAATTAAGTGCGTCAGTCAGGTGCATCAGTTAAGTGCGTCAGTCAGGTGCGTCAGTTAAGTGCGTCAGTCAGGTGTGTCAGTCAGCTGCGTCAGTCAGGTGCGTCAGTCAGGTGCGTCAGTTAAGTGCGTCACAACTATTCAACTACTCATCACAGCTACAATATGAAATACAAAAAATGTCGAAATTTTATTAATTTTTTTATCCATTTTTTTATCAATTTTGTCAATTTGATATTATCTTTGATTACGTAAATTGGACTTGAACTCCACATCAGCGAATTCAAAATTCAACTAAAAATTCTCGAAGTACGAGTGCGTCACGAGACTCAAAATAGTGCAAGGGTTTAATTAGCAGATTGCTTCGACTATTAATTTGTAGATTGGTTCGTACGTTAATTAGTAGTGGTTCATTATGAGATTGGTTGCTACAACATTCAGTGGATGATTTCAAAATTGATTCTAAACAAGCATGGTTTCTAAACGAGCATGACTTTAGACAGGAAAATTATTTAAAAAATTGATCGACAATTTTGCAGATGGAATCTAAAGTTCACGATTTGTCAAGCATCTCTAATTTCCACAGAAATAAATTTTTAAACGAATATTTGATACAAAATTCGTTTTTAATAAAACATCAGTCGCTTTTTTAAACGCTACCAAATAGTTTTGCCTCCGCAAAACTGCACCCGATGCAAAAATGAGTTTTATGCAAAATGTTTTTCGCATTCACTCGAACGTATTCAAGTGTTTTAATTAAAAATACGAAAAATACTGAAAATATTAATTGGCCCAAATTCGATGGCTAACAGACGTAAACGTCAGCCGAATGTTTTATAGCTACAGAACTCAGCTGTTACAAACGAGTATATGAAAAATATTGAAAACATTAATATGTTTAAATTTTGTGATCAAAGCTTCAGCTAAAACATGTTATATTTCATCAAATGTATTGAAGTGTTTTAATTAAAAATACGAGGAATATTGAAACCATTGATTTATCTAGGGGTTGTAAATTTCCGAGAAAATGTTTTATGTTTAGTGAAAGGGTTTCGTGCCTTAATTGAAAATATTGATTTGTGTAATTTGAGGAAGGGTTGCAAACTTCGTCGGAAACGTCTTTTATTAAAAACGTGAAAAATAATGATAAAATAAATTTCTCCATGTATGATGTTCATAGGCTATCAACTTCAACAATGTTTTACATTTATCCAAAGTATCTAAACGTTTCAATAAAAACAAGGCAACTATTGAATACATTTATTTGTCTAAAGACGACTATGGTGGCAAACTTCATCGAAAACGTCTTTTATTAAAAAGAAGAATAATAATGAAAAAATAAATTTCTTTATGTATGATGATAGGCTATCAACTTCAACGATGTCTAACATTTATCCAAAGGATCTAAATGTTTCTATTAAAACCTTGATAAACACTGAAAACATTTATTTGTCTAAACCTGATGACTTAGGGTTGCAAACTTCATCAAGAACGTCTTTCATTAAAAATATGAAAAATGATGAATACGTTGATTCATCTAAATGTGATAATCAGAAGTAACAAACTCTGACAGAAATATTTTACCGTGTTTAGCTATATTTAGCTAAAGAGACCAAGGTGTTTCAATCCAAAAACGTCCAAATATTAAAAACATTTGTTTGTCTAAATCTGACAACTAAGGGTTGCAAACTTCATCGAAATCATTTCTCCTTAAAAACAAAAAATACTGAAACCATCCATTTCCCTAAATATAATGATGAGAGGTTATAAACATCAACAATGCTTGAAACTTACCCAAACTATTTCAATCGCGCCAAAATTAAAAATAATAAATAGTTCACCCTCTAATCAAAGCGAACAAAGAGTTAAATCTCTAAAGTAATCAAGATGTTCTAACCTATATTAAATTTGTAGGATGTCGCGTGGGGTCAAAAGTGTACGAGGAAGGTGAAATGGTGAGGGACATCGAATGGAAGGCAGCCTGCGACAATTGTTTCTGCGCCATGGGTGCAGTGCGTTGCGTTCCGCTTGCATGCGCGCCTCCTCTTCAAGGCTGCAGCCCGATCGTACGCGAAGGACACTGTTGTCCGTCAACCTACAATTGCAGTGAGTCGCGATACAATTGGCATCAGGGTTGCCGCGATTTCGTCCCGCCCGACAGGTCCACCCGATTTGTGTTTTCCGGTGAACTCGTGCTCGACGATCATCCTTACCGCGAACGTGTTCCCTCGTAAATCGAGCTCCTTGCGCTTCCTGTTTCCGGAATATCATTGTCGGCATAACGGAGAACTGTTTCGTACAGATGATCTCGCTCGAAACTGAATGGGTCTCGTAATTTTCACTCGGTGGTTTCTCGTTCTGCGGAGTCATTATTCAAAACGAGTTCTAGAAATTTTGGCTTGCGGAGTTCGGAGATGAAGAATTATTGATTTTGGTGGGAAAAATTACTTTGTTGGGAAAGTGAAGATTAGAGATTTTGTTTTAAGGTATAGATTTTGTTTTAAGGTATTTGCTATGAGGAGTTATTATTGAATTCAGGGGATTCTTGTTATATTGCCGTGTAGTGATGGTGCGTGTAGTGATACAATGCATGGCAATATAATGCGAGGAATTCCAATGCGTGGCAATATAATTCGTGATAATACAACGAGTCTTACACGTGTCAATATAACATATAAAAATCTAATGCGTGGCAATATAACGCGTGGCGATATAACGCGTAGAAATCTAACACGTAAGAACATAATGAATGGCAATATAACAACGCGTGGAATTCCGATGTGTGGCAATATAACGCTTGGCGATATAACACGTGGTAATATAACGTGTAGAAATCTAACCCGTGGTAATATAACGCGTGGAATTCTGATGCGTGGCAATATAGCGCTTGGTGATATAACGCGTGGTAATATAACGTGTAGAAATCTAACCCGTGGTAATATAACGCGTGGAATTCTGATGCGTGGCAATATAGCGCTTGGTGATATAACGCGTGGTAATATAACGTGTAGAAATCTAACCCGTGGTAATATAACGCGTGGAATTCTGATGCGTGGCAATATAGCGCTTGGTGATATAACGCGTGGTAATATAACGTGTAGAAATCTAACCCGTGGTAATATAACGCGTGGAATTCTGATGCGTGGCAATATAGCGCTTGGTGATATAACGCGTGGTAATATAACGTGTAGAAATCTAACCCGTGGTAATATAACGCGTGGAATTCTGATGCGTGGCAATATAGCGCTTGGTGATATAACGCGTGGTAATATAACGTGTAGAAATCTAACCCGTGGTAATATAACGCGTGGAATTCTGATGCGTGGCAATATAGCGCTTGGTGATATAACGCGTGGTAATATAACGTGTAGAAATCTAACCCGTGGTAATATAACGCGTGGAATTCTGATGCGTGGCAATATAGCGCTTGGTGATATAACGCGTGGTAATATAACGTGTAGAAATCTAACCCGTGGCGATATAACGCGTGCCAATTCCGATGAGCGGCAATATAACGTGTGGTAATATAACGCGTCGAAATCTAACGCGTGGCGATATAACGCGTGGCAATATAACGTGTGGAATTCTGACGCGTGGCGATGTAACGCGAGGTAATATAATTCTTGGTGCTACACACATGGCAATATAACACGAGGAAACCTAACGCGCTGCAAAATAACACGTAGCAATAAAATACACAGAAATTCAACGTCGGAAATCTAACATATGAATATAAAGTTTCTGAGCCGGCGATATAACATGATCCACTGCAATGCAGATTGATACAAACGTAACGAATTAATAAGAGAACAAATTCTTCATATTAACATTCGATTATGAGAAACAATATTGGGAAATGAATACATAGGTTTAATTTAGTTGGAGATTACATGCAGACACGGATATTATATATCGTCTTTTGCACTACCAAATTATTGTCACCGATAACGAGGAAAATTAATCTGTAGAGCTAGTTTAATTAATTACAGAAGCGATGGGCACGTAGCCTTCCATCTGATTTAATTACAATTGAATTTAATAACGCCCGTCAGCGTGTAGAGATTATTTTCGTTAGAACTTGAATCCAGCTGAATGAAGTTGTGAAATGAATCCATTATCGACAATAAGCTCGATACGTTGTTATCGTAAAATAAATTTGTATCGATATCGTTCGAAATTAAACGGTATAATTGAACCAACAGAATTCTGGTCGAAGAATAAGATAATTATACTTTCGAATTCGTTTCGCGTGAAACATCGATGTTATCATTGTTATCATTTCGGTATAGCATAAGATACTCCTCCAGAATGAGTTATTTTTGCAAGAATATTATTAACGCTCCCCACGAAACTAGCGCTCCAATCTTACGAGCACGAAAACCCCAAGGAACAGGGTAAGTTAGATTGAATTAGGAAATCGTGTGGGAAAAGGGGACTCGCGGGGAACATCATTAAATCTGAATGCTTCGTCGAGTGTCTGCATTCCGTGAAAAGGATAATATTCACCGCGAGTTCGAAGCTCGAGATTTTCGTTCGAATTCTTACTTGAACATGTGTCGATTTACCACGCGTTATATCGACGTACATATTATTATCTTACTAATTTAGCAAGTAATAATCTGTTCAAGGTAAATGGGGGTGTAGGGACATTGAGGGGTGCAGATTTGAGATATGGGGATTTTAAGGACGTGGAGATTTGGGGTATGGGGATTTGGGGATTTGGGGTATGGAAATTTGGGAAATTGTGGAATATGTGGAAGGTGGGAGAAATCTTGCAGTGGGTGATTTAGGATTTTTGGGATTTGAACACTTGGGGGTGAGTTCAGAATTTGGGGACTTGGGAAGTTAGGGACGTGGAAATTTGGGGGCGTGGGAAGTTGGGGACTTGGGAATTTGGGGGCGTGGGAATTTGGGGA